AACGGTATCTAAGGAGAGATAATGCTGGAGATCCTGGGGAGGAATAGGCTGCAATCCTGCTGCTCCCGGTGCTGGTACAGCTCAGGTGGAGGAAACAGCGAGCAGTGGGCATTCCCACACCATGGCCACAGCTCGGGCAGCCACAGCCTGGTGCCAGGCTTCTAATATCATGGAGATGTCCAGCTTGGGATGTGGCAAGGTGCTATGGGCTCCCCGTGGTGGGAGCAACGCCCTGTTACTGCAAAGATATGGCAGCTGCTAGACTTTCTGTGCCCTGGAGGGAGCAGGGGACAGGGGAGACCTTCAGGCAGAGGTTCTGCACCAGTGAATGGAGAAGCTGTGGGATCAAGGAGCTGTGGTGCCCCAACAGTCACAATCAGGCTCCCATGGCTGTGGGTCCCCAGGAGATCCGAGGGTTGGGTACCCCTGCTCTCCTGGCACTTGGCAACGCTGACCCAATCTGGCCCTGCTCTGGTAGCCATGGGAAGAGGGGTCCAAATGGGCACGGCCCTGCTTATCTCCAGGGTCTTGACATCTGCATGGGGGCTGATGGAGGAGGGTGGTGGCTGGATGCTGCCAGACTAGAACAGACTAAATATGAAGAACAACACGGCACGGTCCAGAACTCACTGGGCGGCCCAAGCTGGAGGCTTGTTTTGTTTTACTGTTTTGTTGTCTCTCTCTCCCCCTCTGGGTTTCATGGCTCTGAGCTGCAGGGCTGGAAAATTATTCATCCAAACCGCAGCTCCCCCAACACCCTCTGTAAGCATCTGTGGCTCCAGACTCCGCTGCAGCAGTGGGTGGGAGGTCGTAAATTCGTCATCGTCACCAAGTCAGCCTCCTGTTAGACAGGACGTGAAATGCGGAGCAGTGCGCTCTGCCCCAGACACAGCCATGCCGAACTCGCTTCGTGAAACCTGTCGGCCAGTTTGCATGACAAACCTCTGTCCCGTGCCTGTCCATGGATGAGAAGGTCCCTTCATACCTCCCTGAGCAGCTGTGCTTTAGCTGCAGATGTCTGCAGGTTCACCTCGGCTCCTGGCTTTGCTGGAAACACTGTTGTGTTGTGCTAGCCAGATGTGAGGGCTGTGGAATCACTTGCTCCTGGAATTTTGGAAGCTCTGCAGACAGCAACATGCCTCCCCTCCATGGCTTTCACTTGCTTCCTTACAACTCAGAGCCAGTGTGCTGAACTGTGCCCCGTTGGGATGAGAGCTGGTGTGCGACAAGTACCAGCAGAACTCACCCCCTATAGCGCTCGGTCATTGTCATCAGCTAAGGGTGAACTGGGAGGTGGCCAAGCTGTCTCATGTGGATGTTGTCCTGTTCTTCACCATGAAAGGCAAGAGCACACAAGCAATCCCTGGGAATGCTGTCCCATTCTGAGGCCTCTCTCCTGTGCCACAAGCTGTAGAGCCAGACCCAGACCCTCTCCATGGGGAATGTGGCTTTGAGTGAAGGCCCAGGCATAATGACTCTGAAAGCCACAGGGTAGCTCTGATTGATTGCAGAAAAATAGAAAAGAGAGGATGGGGAGCTCCTGCCCGTCCTTCTCCTTGTCAGCTGCCCCCTTCTGAGGATGCAGTCCTGGTCAAGCTGTTGGGAGACCGTGGTAGCTGTGCTTGACAGAGCAAGGGAGCACTTGTCTCTGCAGGACCCCAGGCTACTGTGGGGTGATGCATAGCCAAAGGGGAAATGACCACCCACCCAGGGTCAGGAGCCGGCAGTACAAGCCCCACACACAGGCTGCCAGGCTCTAGAGAGAAAAAAAACCCTGGTGATCCTGCCGCTGTGCCCCTCACAAGGCTCCTGTGGCCTCATGGCAATGTCTCCTCCTTTGCATCTTCGCTGTCACTGTGATAGGCCCCACTTTGCAGGTCAGGGTGCTCCACAGATGTTCTTGAAATCTTCTGAGACTAAAAGCATTAGGTGTCTTATACATCATATACTGTGCTGGGACATACCTGTACAAACACTTATTGGTGTTCAGTGGAGACTGCACACTCTGAACAAGAGCCTGTTGGGCACCAGGATGAAGCTTACATCTACACACACCTTTGAGACGTAATCCTGGTCAGCACCTGGGGTTTCTGGGCCATGCATGAGGCTGAGGCAGTGAGGAGAGGACTCTGACAAGTGGATGGATTTGGTCTCTGGTGTGGAAATACCAGCACTTTCCCTGTCCTTGCAGGGGTTTGTTAGAGTAGACTTGCAGGTCCTGGCAGAAGGGCTACTGTCTTGTAGCCCAGGAACTATTTCTAAGGCTTTGCTGGAGCTGGGGTGTGAAAGCTAGACATCAGGGTTGTTTCCGATGGAGGTCTAAGAAGGATGGGCCACATGGTCTTTGAGACTGCTCCTTCCGGGGGGCTCTTGGGATAAAACCCCCAGCACTGGTGAGATTCTGTGCTGCTGGGAAGGTCTAAACTTCACTGTCTTATCAACTCAGAACTCTGGACAGACAACGGGCACATCCCTCTTTGGACCAGATTTGATTTTCCAGCTTGCTTGCTTTGTGTCAGGCCTCCAGCATGCATCTGTGTGTTCTCCCATGGTGCTCCAGAGGAACATGGCAGGGGGCTGCTGCTACAAACTGCATGCACCTCATGATCAGCAAACAGCTCGATTCCGCCAATCCTGCCTACTGGGCTGGGGGTCACTGGGAGCAAACATTTTCTTGCTGTGGCACTTGTGCTGCACGAGTGTAGTTTAGGAGTTACTGGTTATGTGAAAGTCATAAAGCTGCCAGGCTTCCTGTGAGCATAGGAGAAAGTGCCAGACTCCTCCCAAGACAACATCATGAATCCTCCTGTGCATATGAGAATATCCATTGAGTTTTGCAGGCCTTTTTCATGTTGAAAGTATTCACACATCCCCCCGGAGAGCTCTTGGCATCCAACCAGAAACAGAAACGCTATGAGTTACTGTGACGGTCACTTGTGCAGGCTGAGCAGTGAGTGAACTGTCACATCATACTGGTGGGTGACCCTGTGACAAACATGTAGTCACATGGAAACATTTTCAAACAGCAACTGGATCCATGACGAACCAGGTCAGGGTGGATGAGGGTGGTCATGGGCAACTCAGGATGCTCTGACGTGTGGTGAAGACAGCATTGCACACAGAGAGTGCACACAGTGAGGGGAAACAGTGGGGGTTAAACCCAGCCCTGTATGGGGCTAAGGCTCTGCACCATCTTGGTTTCCTTTAGCCCATGAGTGCTGCAGCTTGGAGCTGGGAGCAGAGCAGGGAATGCAGGGAAGGGGAGGGTGGCAGATGGGACCGAGCAGCAGAGAAGCCCTGCCTGCAGTATAGAAGATACACACTGTGCACAGAGAGACTGCTCCTACCTGACTGTGCACTCGCTGTGTCCACACGTGGGCGGTGGGTGCAAAGCACAACAGGCAGGTTCCCACCCCTGCCTGAACACATGGCACTGCACTGGTGGGTGGTGGGGATGGGAGATGGGTGGACACAGCAACTGCCGAAGACAAAAACGTTATCTCAGGAGAGGGGGAAAAGGTGCTGGGCATCAGGTCCAATTGCAACTGAGGCATCATCCTAGTGTTGGGATGGCTGGTGCTTCCCCATGTTTAGGGTGTCCTGGGTGTCCCACTCTGGGGTGCAGCCAGCAGGATCCTTGTTTTGGAAGAAGGAGAAGCTGTTTGAGGAAACACAAAGGCAGTAGGATGAGTGGCCAAGTCAGTCCCCCACATAGGGCTGTCTGCTCCTTGCAGTAGGTCTTGGGATCTCTTCATCGTAGCTGTTGTGTCTCCTCATCCCACTCCAAGGCAGACCCCACAGGTATTGTGGGCAGGAGTGCGGGCCCAGACTGGGACAGGGGTGCTGCTTTGGGACTGTACTGTAACCCCATGCTGCCTAAAGGAGTGAAGGAGGGTAAATGGATTCCAGGTACTACCCCAGGAATGTGCTTGTGAAATCAACTGCTTTTTTTTAACTTTTCCTTCTGACCTCAACTTGGCACTCAGTGAACCAAGTTGCTACTTGCAATTTCAGCTGGTGCATGGCCACCCCTGCTGGAAGAGCAGTCTCTACATGTGGCTGTATGGACAACCAAATTCCTGGAGCAGCAGCCAGTGCTCTGCAGTGAGCCACAGGGCTGCCAGCTGCTTGCCAGCATGTCAGCTGGACCAGGTGACTTTGCCGTGGTCACTGGCTCTTCAAAGCCAGGCGGTTCATAACTTCAAGCCCAGGCTTCATCAGAAAATGTGTCTCTCTCATAAAGCTGTGGGTGGGTTGGATGCTCGCTGCAGAAGTGCTGCCTCAGTAACAGCAGCAGATGAGAACAGACAGAAGCTACTGTGTGCCATGGGCTGCAGCATCTGGAGTGGCCCCCATCTGCTGCCCATGGCCAGGGACACAGCTGCAGCAGGGGAACACCTCAGTGTCACTGAGACGCCACAAAAGCCAACCCGCCCTTACAAGCACACTCCTTCCTATGGCTGTTTATTGTTTGTACCTAAGACTGATCCACCAGCTGATACAAGCCAGCTCCCACCATGCTCTGCCCACACTGGTGTCTGAGACCTCAACACACCCAGTCCCCATGGACGCATGGAGACCATGGTGCCCAGTACTCGTGTCAGACCTCAGCAGCCTGTGGGCACCAGGGCTGTCCGGGAGTGAGCCAAGGGCTGCCCCTTCTGTGCTGAGGGGCAAGGGCACCTCAGAGCCCTCACAGCCAGCACTGCGTACTGCAGTGGGGTCAACATTGGTTAACTTCCAGGCACCAGGAATCCCAGGAGATGGCCAAAGCAGGGGAGCATCCCACCCAGCTCCTCGCCGTGTCCGCACCAAGGGGCTGCAGCAGTGCAGGACAGCACTGCCCAGCTGTTCAGCAGACCCTATGTCACTGTTTACACCGCATGTGATGTGTTGGTGATAGTGCCAGGGTAAGTCTTCTCTCGCTGCCGGGTTTGCTCTGTGCCAGGAGTCCCATGGTGCTCTCACCCCAACTCCTGGCTCTGGACAGGACTCTGCAGAGGTGGAAGGCAGGACAGTGCCAGGAAGTGCTGAGCAGTGCTAGGGCTGTTTCTGAGTGATGATGTCCTGGATGCAGGTGTACAGGAATATGTACTGGTCCTGCAAGAGAGAAAGGGGGGTCTGCAGTCAGGTTTCTGACAGAGACCTCCTGGTTGTGGGACTAACCCTGCAATTTGCCTTAATAGGTCCTAATTAACTAACAGTGTCTGATGGCAGAGCAGGATTTGCTGTCCCAAGTGGTCCATGTTTGTCTTATGTCATCAGAGTTGCCCAGAAAGGAAGAATCAGGTCTGAAGCTGTACTTACACTACGTTTGTTTCCTCCTGCTTCATCACCCCTGTGATGGGGAATGAGAGGAATATCCCCATCTGAGACGGGGAGGAACAATGTCATCAGACTTCCTCAAAGTGCCCTGGTGGCTTTTGGATGTGCCATGGTGTTTGCATAGAAAACAAGGCTGAAGAGCAGCTCCAGTGATGCTGCAGGGCAGTGAGCAGGGAGAGCTCTGCCCTGCTGGAATGTACAGGGTCTGGCAGCAACCCGAGTCCAGGAGGGAAGACCTCTGGAGCAGGATTGTCCCTTGGTGGTAGTCTCAGTGTACCTGAGTCAAGTGCAGACAGTGGATCAGGGTAGACCTCTGCAAGCTCTCAGAGGCAGACAAAAACATCTGGGTGGTTTCAGTCCAGTTGAATTTCTTCTCTATTTTTAAGATCACCAAAATAATCCATCAGTACCAAATGTGAGTCCAGAGGTCTCAAGTCCACTGTGGATTTGATACGAGGTTCTGCTCAAATGCCAGGCCACTCAAAATGATGCTAGGCTACGAAACACCCAGGGCTGACTACCACCAAGGCAGGGCTCCAGGAAAGATGTAGGAAAGGTAAATGACGTTGTACTCAATGCACAAAGCTGGAGAGCAGGGCCAGCCTGCAAATGGTTGAAATCACATGGTAGCCAGGAAAGTGGGATTAGGGACCCAACAGAGGGGCCTCCGAACAGCTCACTAATACATTGGCTAAGCTACAAGTCACGAGGACCCTCCTCCCCTGCCGATGGTGAGTTTAGCCCCATGGAAGGGCCGGGAAAGCCACAGATCACACAACAGCTGTGGTTCCAGGTCACCAGAGTGTGTTTTCAATAAGCCTGGCCTGATTGTGAAATCTGGAGTGACAGCCCAGGATTGGCTTCAGACCAGGCACACTCAATGCCTGGCCCGATGCAAGAGCACATCCCCAGAGACACGCGCCATGCTGGAGCTGTGGGTGATTAAATACCTGGTGGTTATTCATGGACGATCCCTCAAAGTCTCATCTTCCCATTGTTTGGCTACTAACCCCCCAAAAAATCAGCTGATGCCCCCAGCATGACAGCAGCATGCCCCTGACAGAGATAAAGGGGTCCTGGCAAGACCCCACAGTGATGGAGGAGGCTGGCAGCCACATGGCAGCAGTGTAGAGCTGGAGTGCAACCCTGCCTGCCCTTCGCTGGCCGTGCTGGGATCAGAGCGACCACTGCTCGCAGCAAGGTGGGGAGGCAGCTGCCTCTGCTGCCCCCACTCAGTGGGGCAGCAGCTTTTGATCGACACTTGCTGTGCCTTTATGGGCACATTGTGTCTGTGCTCAGCAAGACCTCTGACGAAATACAAAGGAGCTCTGAAGCAGGGACAGTGGACGCCTTGCCCTCCTCCGGCTCCTACCATGCGTATGGTTCACATTAATTAAGAATGCGATTAGCTGCTTGCAGGCAGCTCTGCAGCTGGGAAGCCCAGGAGAGATCTGCCCCAATTCTGCTGTCCCTTGTGGGGACTGTTTCCAGGGATGCTGCATCAGCTGTTTCAGTGGTTGCAGCAAATTAAAGCACTGTCTAGAGGGCATCCATGCTGCCAGCGCTCATCAGGAGCCACGCGATGGAGGCCTGTGGGGCTGGGCTGTCCTGGCATGGCAGGGCATGGCTGCGGCACCATCAGACAGTGCCACAGTCCACACAGCCCACAGCAATGTGGCAGGGTGTCCCACTGACCCCCTCGCAGGCAGCCCCAGCTCTGGCAGCAGACAGGAGCTGGGAGCAGACTAGGGGTGTGGGGGATGTGGCACGGACATGCACTGGATGAAGGGAAACCAGCAGATTCTGGGTACCCAGGCTGACAGCCACGTCCAGAGGCTGAAGAGCAGGAAAGTTTGTCACGCAGGATAAAACAGTGCTTCACGCTTTGCAGGACAGAATGGGAAGAGTGCCTTGCATTTATCATACGCTCACATGCAATTTAACCTATTTTAACTTCAGAACTGGGGAGATGGAAAGCTCTTCCCTGGGAAAAGACAGTGCCCTTAGTCCTTGGTGGCTGGCAGAGCTGCAGGGTGGGGAGGAAGCATGGAATAAAACCCTGCATAGGCTGGACAGATTTCTAGGTGGCAGGTAGCACCCAGGGAGGGGGCAGCATGCTGACAGCTCCAGGCAGCTCAGCATGAATGTTCTGCTCTGCCTGGCCCACCACCATTCCTCCTTCCCACCTACCAGAGTCGGGGTCATGAGACAGCAGCTTCTTGTCAGCTGGAGGGTCACCCCATAGACATCCACAATTCTCTCAGATTTCATCTGGTGCAACAGGCAATCCAGGGAGATCAGAGTCCCCATTTGGCTCACGCCACCACTGCAAGGGACAAGGGAGGGTCATTGATGCGAGGCCAGGCTGAGCTGAACCACTTTGGAAGTGGGCACCAGCCCAAGCAGTCAGAAGCCCCATAAGAAAACATGCAGCAACTGATTACGGTGGGGACAGAGGACCGTGAGCACTGGCCTAGGTGGCAGGCAGGCCTGTGCTGACCAGGGGGTTGGGACCCCAAGGTGCCCGCTGAAGGAGCCTACCCTGCCCTGCTGAGCTGTGCATCCCCCACCCAAGCCAGCTCTGCCAGTGTACCAGCTGTGTTGGCTCCTGTGGGACTGTGAGCTCTCCCGGGCTGCTCCCAGGATCCTAGCAGTCAGTCCAAGGATGGCCTGGCCACCTCAGCTTGGGAATGCCTGCCCCATCCATGCTTGCCCCTGGCCCAGCCCTGTTTGCCCTCCCTTCTCCCATGTGCTTGACAGAGCACTGCTTCATCTGACCTCCCAAGCTCCCAGCTTCCCTGGCTCCAATGGATCTACTCTCAACATGCCCAAAACCTTGGGGTGCTTGGTGGAGGGAACAGGCCTGCTGGTGGCCATGGCAAGGTGTTGTATCTATGCAGCCTCACGGGTACCAGCTCTGGGAGGCTGTCCATCGACTGGGCAGTAACACGGTGTACCTGCAGTGCAGCAGGAGAGGACTGCCTCTCTTCCGGTGGGGCATGCACCGTCTGACAACAGTGAGGAGCTCCACCAGGCTCTGGACATCTGGCTGCTTCTTGCTGCTCCAGAGCGTGTACAGGAACTGTTGTACCTGCCTCTCCTTTGCTTTCTTCTCCTGGGGAGACAGAAAGAGTTGATGGGGCTGTTGGGGAGAGATGCAAAGGAGTCCCAGCTCTCCAATCCTTAGGCTGTCAGACGCTTTCCTGATCTAACTGCTAGCTTCTGGAAAGCTGTCCAGTCTCTGCTGGCGCATTGCCCATCATCCGTGCAGTTGGCATGGTGCCTCTGGCAACCTCCTCTCTTTCCCCCGGCACCTGCACCTTGAGAGGGAGACTGAGAACTGTGTGGGCCTTTTCAAAGGTCAAAGACCTACCAGCAAGGGGTGGGGGAAGCCCCCAAGGCCTCTCCCATGCATATCCTATGTCCATTCAGCATATATTTCGGATGTTGCAATCTAGATTCCCTCCTGCATTTGTGAACTGCTGGCACTGTGTTCTTGCAGCTCAGACAAGTCTCAATGGACCTTTCAGCCCTTGCCCCTACAGACATGTTTGCTAGCAGTGAAGAACACCCCAGGCTGTGGGAGCCAGGCCAGCCCCATCAACACATACGTGTCTCATTTTGAGCTGGATACACCTCCATCCGGAGACAAGCTTCTCTGTGCAACACTGGATGGTCAGCATCTTTGTGCAGAGAGAGTCTCCTTCCAGGGGCCAGCATGCCTCACTTGGGACCTGTGCGCAACAGCAAGTTTAGCTTCATGTTGATGGTTGCCATCTTTCAGATCAGTCACCATCTTAGGGGTCTGTCATGGGACTGGAACGAGGGCAGCCCCAACATCACTCCATGCTCATCCCCTAGCTAAACCATGGAGGAGTTTGGGAAACAACAGAAGATTGCATCCAGCTTCCCTGTTAACACAGAGCTGCTTGGCAGCA